TTCACTCTTAACAGGTACCAGTAACTCTAATGGAATACTCCCTTACCTCTGTAACGGAAGGGATTGATGCAGTTGCCACCACCAGAGTGCTCATTCGGCCAGACCACAATGGCCATACAGCCACACATGCCTTAACAGGGGAGTCTCTGCGCAGAAACTTCAGGTATTTCTCTCATCTACCCTCAGCCACATTCATTTTCATTGTTCCCAATCATTTATAATTCATTTTTGAAGGTTTATTCTATAAATATTAATTACAATGATCTTAAATTGTTAGGTAGCTATCAATTGAGATTGATAGAAATTTAATAAGGAATTTGAGAACATAACAAAGATAGAATAAAGTAGAATAGATAGTTTTGTCATGTAAAACTTATTGAGAAATAAGGTGCGGTTGAAGGATTAAGATTAACATTGGATGATTTTTTGAAGAAAATATAAATTTGTACAAAATAGCTAATGATGATGAGGATAGGCGATAATTGTTTTTTCATGTAATTAATTTGACTGGTTTGCTGTGACTATATTTTAAGAAGCGCTTTTCCTATATACTGCAGTGGAAGTGGAGCAGACATGGATGTTGTGGTTTCCAGTGTTAGGGCTTATATTAGTGCACTGAACAAGATGCTGGGTCTGGGGAAAAGACCTCTAAACGAGATTCCGAATTCCGAAACGGTTGTTGTTTAGGTTGAAAGCATTCAGGACAGACTATTCAGTGTGATCCCTTTCTATAATTTTAATTTATGATCTGTAAATTTGCAGTTTTTGCATGTGATTTTGTTTGTTGTTGTTAAATTTTGGCTTGTAATTTCATTAGTGACAGGACATGGAATTGATGTTTTTTGGGCCATACATAACCATAGTTCTCATGTTACTTAGCATTCTAACACTTAAACTTTGGGAAGATTTGCATACATACCACTCATTATTATGTATTTAGATATCTAACACCTACACTTCAATATTGACGCACATACCATCATTGTACCTATGCAAGAAAAGGTGTATTAAATGGTGGTATTTTTGATGTGATATGGAAGATTT